AAAGCTTTGATTTTGCAACCTCAATGTAGAAATTGATATTGTATATTGGGGTGGGAACTTAAGCGCATCATTCAATGACATTTTATTTTTGGTTAATCTTAGGGATGGCAATGGGGCAGAAGATCGATTTCCCATCCCCATCTCCGTTATCCTAATCTATTTCCATCCCCGTTCCCATTCTCGTTTAAGGATGGACAAGATCGGTGTCAGAGATTTCTCATTAGAGGAGCTTTCTTTATACCCGTCCCATTCCCAATCATTAGGGGTGTAAATTGGCCGGGTAGGGTAGGGTTGAGCCAAAAAATTGAGCCTACCCGACCAGTGCGGGTTGAGAAAATTTTAGGCCGTGACATTCTCTTAAGTCTACAAACTCGCAACCTTTCGGGTGACTTCGGGTAGGGTCGGGTTACTCGGGTTGGTGAAAATCAATTTTAATCTATGACTTCATCAATTTTAATCAATTTTTAGTCAATTAATCTGTGCTTGTTACAGAAGAAATCATTATCAAACAGAACATATCTTTCCTTCAAGAGGGGGTCTAAATGCAATGTGAACAATTAAAACACTCACTTTGAAATCAAACACTTCCAAATAAATAAAGAATGTCCTAATTCAACAACTATGACATACAAGCATTTTTAATACAAATTATGAATCCAAAACATAAATAAGTTAACAGCTTAAAAGCATAAAGTCCATAAACTTATCAAAGTAAGAATTTGAAGTGTTGGACATTGTTTTACCTACTTTGAACATGTTCGGCCGGGTAGGGTTACCTCGGGTTCATGTAACCCACCCCGCGCCCCTACCCGCGCAGTACGGGTTAGACATAATTAAAACTGAAAATTAAATAAAAAATTAGAAACCCGTGATTTTTGAGTAGGGTCGGCTCGGCTCGGCCGGGTTTGTTGGGTTCGGGGTGATTTCTTACAGCCCTACCAATCATATAGGATTATGAATTTTAAAATTATAGCAGTTTAAAATAAAAATAAAGTAGAATTTTATTATAAATTTAGATCAAAATCAAATATTTCATAATAAAAACCAAATTCTTAACATATTGCAAACTGAATACAAAAGTAATAACTAACATATAAGTGAAAAAGTTAAAAAAATAAAAATATACACGTAATTATCCTTTATTGTTTATTACTAATAGCTTCAATTTTTATTGCATAGTTGCACATTAATATGGGGGCGGAGGCGGGTGGGGAGTACTTCTCCCGTCTCCACCCGCCATGAATCGGAGACTAGATTTTGTTTCCATCTCCATCCCCGAGAATTGTCCTCCATTCCCGCTTCGTTTAGGACAGGGCCCGTCCCGTTGAGAATATTGCCATTTCTAGTTAATCTAATGTCATATTTGATGCTAAATTTGACACATTTTATATTAGTTGTTAAGTTTTGCATAAAGTATAGCATATTTCAATTGACAAACTCAACATTTTAGTCGTTTATTGATTAATAATAATGTTTTGGTTTCTATTTATTAATTATAATAATCATTTCTGAAGTTTTAAAAATTAAAAATTTTCCACTTGTGAAATTTAAAGTTCAAAATTTTGTAATAAAAGCTATATGTACATAGCATTTAAAATAGTATTACGAATTGGATAACATACACCATAAATTCATCTTTTAAATGAAGCACTAGAATCCGAATTACATAAAAGTATAAAATAATATAAAATATTGTATAATGATTAACTAATTGGTAAAGACTAAAGATGATAAAGCAAGATCATAATCTCAGACAAATCTTCCCATTAATCATATATAAATGCCAAACACAGGGACCAGAATAAAACCAGAAACTTGCACTAAACAAAGTTAACACAACACTTCCACACTTATTCAAAATTAAAAATCACATTAACCATTAAACCAAGCTGCAGTTTTAATTGTAATCCCGCACACACATATATACATACATATATATATATATATATATATATATATATCAAGATTCATCTTCTACTCCTTTTTAAAGGAGACGCTCTTTCCCGTACTATTATTTGGAGCCGACTTAGCCGGAGATGCGATCTTGACCTTTGTGCGGTGAATATAATCAGAAAAATGGTCTTTAAAGCTTCCTTTCTTCTTAATCATCCCACCGTGATCCGGGCCTGATGATTTCTTCTGTTGATCCCCACCGTCTGATTTCGGCATCGTCCTGATCTTGGACCCCACACGGTTGATATAATCCGTGAACGTAGCGTTGATCGGATCATGATCATCAGGCTTTCTTTCGTCATGCAATGAAACGACGTCGTTTTTCTTGGAAAAATCCTTCTCAACGGCCTCAGCATTGTTATTAGTATTACTATTCTGAGAAGTAGTAGTAGAAATAGTACCGGTACTGACGAACTTGATAGGAACTGTTTGAACATGATCTGCTGTTTTCCCAGTTTTCTGTTGTTGATGATGGTGATCAGACGGAGCAGAATTGCTTTTGATCTCGATGGTTCTGCGATGACCACGGCCGTCGGTCGGTGTGGGGTCCCTGCTCGGACGGTAAGAGATTCGGCGAATGGTTTGGAAAGGAGGGGAGACTTTGAAAGCTCTGAAGAGCTTTTCACACACGTCTAATGACTTCGATGAGGTTTTATTGTCGTTGTTGTTTTTCCCCATTTGAAATCTCTCTTTTTTTTTTTTTTTTTTTTTT